TGGCTTTCGTCACGGTGGCGCGAGCCGGGCTCACGCCACCGTTTTTCCCGCAGTGGGTCGATTAACTCAGTTGGTTAGAGTGCCGTACTAATATCAAGTGAACTTGAGATGCGGATGTCATGGGTTCGACCCCCATATTGACCAGTTCTTTTTTCTTTTTTTTTCCAGATTTGTTGTTCATCTTGATAATACTTACATTTGAACTGCGGTTTTTTTTTTTTTTTGACAGAAAATTTACACTTACACAAATGATACTCTTGCACAATGAAGGTCTTCTTCTTATAAGCCTCATCAACAAGATGGCGTAAAGTGACTTTGTAAAACCAAGAGTTTTTGAGTGTGCCCTCATGATTTAGACAAACAAGTGCAGTGCAAGACTTAACCTCTCTCTCTCTCTCTCTCTCTCTGTGTGTGTGTGTGTGTGTGGTGGTGGGTTTTAGTTCTTGAAAAAGAGTTGATAGAACTCTATAGAAAGATACTAAGGAAGTGGTGACTGTTGAGCAATATTGAATTTATAATACATCTCTTCCCATTGAAATACTACCCTTAGAACCCATGGAGTATAATAATAAAAAGCAGGACATATGAGGAGGTTCTGACTGATATGTATGTAATATGTAAATGCATTTATTTTTATTTTTATAGGGTCTTAAATCAATAAGACACCCCTAAAATAAAACCAATTTTTAAGGTGTACCAATAGAAAAAAAAAAAAAATTACACATACATTATTTAATCAGATGAATCTCTCCAAAGTTATCATAAATAATTTTCCTATGCTCTGACTGACGTCAATATAGTATATATAAACTTATACCAAATTGTACAATTTTTTTAATCACTTATATATCAAGTTTCATTCTTATGTTTTTATAGTCTAAAATTGATGACACCTTATATCACATTTCAACCGAGATTCCTATGTGTGACTGTGTATGCACAGAAATCCAAGAGAAAAAAAAAAGTCATACATGCTTCCTTTTTTTCATCTCTTCCTTCGTGTTGTAACTTTTTATTTAATTTTATTTTTAGAGTGCTATTGTATTGACATTCCGCACTATCTATGTCTGCTACGTCTAATGATAATAGTATATACACCCTCCTTATATATCTTTTCCTATGATTAGACCTCCGTTGTCGTCACAAAAAAGTGTTGTAACTAATGTGTGCCGATGGCGTTCGAAGGCACAGTTAGACTCAGAATTTTCTTGTCCAGGATGACGAGGAAAATCTGGTCCCGCCGTCAGCACATCTGTTTATATGTCTATGGCTATCACAAATATCTACAACCTTCTTCTCTCTCCTACACGTTTCACGCCCCATTCTCACACGTCCCATCTTTTCCTACTTGTTGCACATCTGGTTCTCACACGTATCACTTGTGTGACACCTTCTTTCGTATGGAGGAATAGTGTAAGCCATTCGAACCAAGATCGATTCACTCCATTCTTCCCTTTCCTTCCACTTCTCGACAAGAAACATGTTTGTTTTCTGGCTTTCTTTCCCCCCCACCCTCCTTTTTTTCGTCTCAACTGTAATCTTCTGTCAAAAAAGAAATTACAGAAACCCCAAAACAGCATTTCCTCTTTTCTTTTTCTGTGTGTTCTCTTTCTCAACAGAACAGAGAAGGTCAAAAAAACACATTGTAGAAAGCATAAGGAAGCATCAGGAAAAAAAAACTGTGTAGAGCGGGCGCGGGGGATGAGCAGGAGAGTATATAAAATAACACAATTGAGCTTTTGATCAAAATAACGGTGGGTGGTTCGAGGTGAGGATAAGCTCAAAAGAAAGGAAGAGAGAGAGAGAGAGAAATGAAGAAAAAAGACAACAGGTACAACTCTGATTGGATCCCCCCTTTCCTTTTGTCTCTTTTTGTTTGGTGGTACTCCTTTTGTTCAAACTAGAGATCCCTCCAACTTTCTTTTTATTGACCAAAGAATCGATCAGATGAGAACGTAAATGGGTCCTTACGTTCTCCGCCTGCACCTGAACCTGGTCCACCGACTTGCTGTGGGTGATGTTGGCGGTTATTATTAGGCTGCTGTGGATGATGGTGGTGATGACCACCGGTCTGTTGTTGTGGTTCATTGCCGTAGCCAACGTAGTTCGATCCGTAATAGCCATGCGCTTGCATCGAGCTTGGTGCCGCTTGGGGTGGTTGCTGTTGGCCGGTTCCGGAAACCAGACCGGAGACGACACCCTGGGCCGAGCCCGCACTTCCGACCCCAGGTTGTGAAACTTGCCTGAAGCCTGCCCCGCTACCAACGAGTCCGACACCACCGCCCAAGGTGTGCTGAGAGCTGTGTTGTGATTGCTGATGATGGCTGCTTGGAAGTGGGGTGGCGGCTGTAGCAGCGGTACTGCCGGGACCCGCTTGGATCGGATACTGGTTCTGGGCATTCCGAGCGCCACTGACAGGGTACTGTTGCGAGCCTTGGACGGAGTAGTACGGCGAGGGAGCTTGCATGCCGTAGGGATAGGCTGGGTTCTGGTAGTTGGGCGGTAACTGTCCGTACTGCTGGTAGTATGGATAGTACGGGTACGGCATCGGGGAAGGTTGCATGCCAGGGTACTGTTGGTTTGTAGCACTGACAGCCGCCACGGCGGGCTGCTGCTGATGTTGGCCGACTAACTGAGGCTGGCCTTGAGGAGCAGCGGCTTGATTTGAGACCGAAGATTTGCTAGCATCTTCACCACCGTGTGGGGATCGGCTTTGAAACGCGGCCTGGGCAGCTTGAGCGTGGGTATAAGAGTCGTAGTAGCCCTGAATGAAGTGACCACCGGTATGTAAGTAACAAGATTTGAGGTGTTTGAAAAGCTACAGGACCCTACCAATGACCTCAACGCCTCTTGACCGTACAACGATGCATAATCCTGAGCAGTTTGAGGAGTCTGACTGAACCCAGGCTGGGTGGGTTGTTGGCTTTGCGGAGGCAGCAGCTGTTGTTGTTGATGTATCTGTTGCTGCTGTTGCTGTTGCTGTTGCTGTTGTTGCTGTTGTTGTTGCTGTTGGCTCATATGATTGAACGCGCCGTAATTGGCAGGCGTCTGACTCGCCGGGGCAGGGCTGTTGGAGTGTTGTCCGACTACGGATGGCTGTTGTTGCTGAGGCGGTTGCTGCTGCGCCTGCTGTTGAAAGTAGGCAGCCATGTGATCTTGCCTGAAATTCGAGTAATGCAGGAATGCATCTTGCTGTTGTTGTTGAGCTTGCTGCTGCTGCTGTTGCGGTGGGTGAGACAGTGAAGTTGATGGATGAGCGGTTGGACTTGGTTCGGCAGACGCATACTGATTTGTTGCTGGGTAGCGAGACGCAAAGGCGGAAGATGTTGGCTGGGCAGCTGAGGCTTGGGATTGGACAGCTGGATGACTCGATTGTGTGGGCAGCGTGTGTGTGATGTTTTGGGGCGACTGTGAAGAAAGTCGATAGAAAAAAAGTCAGTGAAGCAAAAAAAGAACCAGAGCCGAAGGCTGTGGCAAGAGGGTAGCTACCTTGTCTTCGACTGTCGGAGCTGCCGGAGGTGGAGTGGGTGGCGCAAGTGGTTCTGTCGCAGGCTGAGGGGGAGTGACTACGATCTCGCTCGCAAGCTCATCTGCCTTGAAGCTGTCCACAACGAATCAGTTGACGCGCTCTAGAGCCAAAAACATGCCGGTGATTTTGCAAGTAGCGCTTACCTTGTTTCATTGGGTACGATCTTCTCTGAGGCAGCAATTGGCGGAGAAGGCGTTTCGGGAGCAGGAGGAGCATCTGATCCTGACACTTCGTCAAATAGACTCAAGCTACCAAACTTGAGCCCAATTCGGTCGACATTTGGAGTGCCGCTACCAGGCATCACAACGGCGGCTTCTTGCCCTTTCCTGGAATTGGCACGTTTTGAGAGACCGGGAGGAGCCGAGAGCGCGCTAGTAATCCCTGTTTGTGAAGCCGAGCACACTTGGGCAGCAGTTGTTTCGGGAATGGTCTGGGTGCTTTGTTCTTGAGCAATCACAACCGATGGGATAGTGGGGGATGTCGACACGTCCACCACATTAGTCGTGACAGGTGTGTTCAATTCGAGTGGGGCGATATTGACGGCATCACTGGGAGTGAGCAACTGAGCGTTTGTGACTTGGCTGTCGAAGATGCTTGCTTTGGATTCGCTGGGATGCGCTAGGACTGTTTCGGCCCAACCTTCGCCAACACCGAGGGACTGCAGGGGAGGATCTTCGTTCCAAACGTTAGGGCCGGCACCGGTAACAGCTTTCTTGATATTCTCGATTGCTGGAACAGGCTCGGTGTGCCAAACATCTGCAGATGCTTCAGGGATTGTGATAGTGACCCGATCATCGACAGTTTGAGAGACAGCGGTTGATTGGGTGTTCTCAGGTGGCGAGATTGGCTCGACCATGTCAAGCGTCTCCCCAGATAGATCTGCTTCAGGGGCATGGACAGGTTGTGGTGGCGGGGCTTGAACCACCGGTGCGGGCTGAGGTTTGGGGGGATCGGCCGGTCTAGGAAAAAGAGAGAGCTTGATGTGAGTAACTTTGGGTCGGGCAAGTTGAGCCTGAGAAAACCGCGAACCTGGCGATCTGAGCCCAACTCAATTTAGTTCCCGGAGGTATGACACGGCTGACAGGTCGTTTCGCAGGCTCGGGTGTATACCTCACGGGATTGGACTCGGCGGGTGGAGTGATTGAGTCTCGAGGAAAAGCGCCATCAGTCTTATTTTCATCGCTCGTCGACGCCGGGGCCAGTGTTGCAAATTCGGACGCCTGCTTGGGAGCTGGCTCGAGCAGAGCTGTTGTTACAGGCTCGGAAGTAGCAGCTTCACCCGGATCTACAGAAACACACGAGGCAGGGGGGCCATGACTCCAGGCAGATGGAGTAGTGGTAGCGAATTCATTGCCTGGCGCTTGCGCGGGACGGGAAGAGCCAGTGGCCCACTGACCACGACCAGCTCCGCGGGGCGCAGCTCCACGCCCACCACCACCGCGTGTTGTGCCTCGGGACACATCTGCGAACCGTGTGCAAGACGTAACGTGAGAATGATATGGAAAGCCGGTCCAGACAAAATATCGTACCACTTCGGCCGCGCCCACCCCGGGTGTCTGCACCGGGATTTGCCACGTTCCCAGATGAAGGAGCTTGGAAACGCAGGTGTGATGAA